ATGTACATGGCACTAGCTATCTCATGTTTTCGGCATCCCAGAACACGAAAACAAAACGGGTAACACACAAAGAAGTATGATCGTTCAAAACGCAGCGATAAGATCTCCCCGAAAAAATATTGGAAACCTTCCGCAAAATCCGCAACAGCGAGAAATATCGTTTCAAAGTTGCTCATTATATATTCAAAAACTATTTGAGGTAAACACTAAGACATTCAGTTACTTGCAACTCCCCTGATTCTTGGTCGATTCTTAAAATTCTTACACAGCTGCAAAGGTCAAAATGTCCAGAACGCATCTCCCGTTTTTTTAAATATATCCGGATCCGTTTTACGAAGAAATACGCAATTTCCGAAGGAGCGCGAAGTGTGCAGAATATCCAGGGCTCGGTAAACTTCGACGGTGTCTATGCCAATGCTACAGAGCATGGCACGCATAGCATATACAATTAAGCCGATTAACACCTTAAACAATATGCGTTGCGAGTCTGTTGTGTTACTAGTCTGAGACTTATCCTTGTACCAGCTTGATCCAGGCACGTGCAAAAAATGAAGTTTGACACATGTACACATGGGCACAAAGATGGATGAATGAGCAGAGCCCAAAAGATAAGCCTCTGTATAAGACATCTGATGGGAACTAATGAAGATACTCACCTTTTTAACCAGAGTAATGCATCTGTTGCTGAATTTTTAACTTTAGTTCTGTTCTTCTGTATTTCTTCCCCTACAATCAGTTGTAGTGATGCATATCCTTCCGTATCTGTCATGTATTTCTGATTAAGTTTCTGCAATGTGAGGCAGATAATTAGGAGGATGTTGCAAGTACAATAGGAGACACAAGTTGTAAAATCATTGTACAGTAAAACTGAACATCAATTTTTCTGTTCAAAATGATACAAATACAATCTACTAACATAGTTGAACTCTGGTGACCTTGCCCTTTGTTATATAATATAATTCCCTTTATCATAGTTTGTTTCAATATAAATATGCATTGTCATAATTAATTTTGAATACAAACAAGTTTTGGGGTTGAACCAACAGTGGGAAATCAGTCTACCGAATGTCCTTTAAAGATGTAAATATCTTACAAAAACATTGGTGCCTTATTTGTTTAATTATTTTAAGGGACATAATTTCCAGCTTTATTCAAAGTAATTCAGATATTTTAGTATAAAAACAAATACCTCATCGCAAAAACAAAAGTGC